CACTTGAAGAAGCTCAGTGAAGGTCATCAGAAAAGCAAGATGAACACACACAACAAGAACACAGACTGTAGGAACGTGTGTGTTTATGGGAATTTGTAGACTTCAAGTGAATGAATAACTGGCAAGAATGAGACATGATACTTGAGGAGCAGTTAAAGACAGCAGAATGTGTGTATATTCATGTACGTTAATCATTTTAAACAGGAGGCGTAGGGATGGAAAAAGACAGAAATCTGGGATGGATTGATGAAGGAACATCAAAGTGAGAAAGTGAGGTGAGTGGAAGAATGAAAAAGCGAAAGCAGACCTGCTTCTTCATCCTCCTCATCCTCTTCTTCATGGTCAGAACTGGATGAGGAGTGATCGCCCGTGGCCGAGCTAACAGCGCTATTCACCCCACGGTCACCGTAAAGCAGCCCTGAAATACAGCAACCATCAGAGACAACAGACGGGTTGAGTACAGAGAGAGAGGACAAGAACTCAGCTGGAGTTTGCGCTTCTCCTACCCAAATCACACAAGGACACTAACATGACCCGAAAACTAATGACACATGGTGTACGAACAGAAAAAAAGCTAAGAAACAGATGAATGAGTGAGAAAAGCAAGCAGAATGATAAGACAGACTCTCTGTTGTCACGTAAGAAACAAAGCACATGTTTAGCTAAAGAATCATCAGAAGAGACGAGACCTGTCAGGAATGACACACCAACAATCATAATGATGACTGCAACAACGAATCCATGAAAATACACAATGAAAACAGCTGACAATGACACTTTACAGCGCTAAGGCAGTTTTCTTTTTTCAAAATCTGAATTATTAAATTTTTTTATATTGCCCACCCCTAATCATCATCATCATTCATACTGATATATAATCATAAAATGTTTGCCCAAATTGTGCAGCCCAGCAAACCTGGAGTTTTTTTTTTTTCTTAAATCCCTTTTAAAATTGCAAGTTTTATCAGAAAAATTTTTTTTGATATAAAGAAAAATTAAAACAATGGACATGAATTAACTATCAATATATTTCAAGTACTAATCAGCAAAACAATAAAAAAAGACACACACGCAAGTAATGTCAAAATACAGTCTACTGAAATAAATGACAATCAATTCAGGTGTGAAAGTGGATCGTTTGTACCTGGATGGTGTCGTGGTGAGGAATGCACAGAGGTGCCTGGCGTTCCTGAGGGTGGCCTCTCTTTATCAGGGCCCTGTGAGATGGGAGGGGCTGCGGCGTAATGATGGCTCATGGGATTGTGGAGGTTTTGGTCATAGTGTTGTTGAACTAGAGATACATGGGATAATACACAATCAATAAAACTGATCCAAGCATGTTACATGTGTTTGATTCCATTCTGTTGCATGAACATACATCATGAATTCAAACCGACCTGCATTTGATTGGCCGTTGACAGTGGCTGTTTGGCTGAGAGGCGGAGCTCCATAGCCCAGGTGAGCTGGTGTGGGCGTGGTCCCGATCCCTTGAGAATACTGTTGCAAAGAACTCTGGGTCGGTGGCATTACTGTAGAAACGGGTAGCTGCTCAGCGGTGGTTTGGGAGGATCTCAGCGTGCCGTACTGGCTGCTCCCAGGGGTTGATGGGTAAGAAACAATGGGGTACAGCGGGGCGTCGAGGTTGTTGCCACTGGATGCTGGCACCAAGCTGGGCTGCAGCTGCTGAGGTTGGGGCTGAGTCTGCCCCTGTGAGGGGTGACTATATGTCTGTCTGTAATATCCGGCTGGCATAGCATATGGTGCAGTCTGCTGGAATGACTGTACCGGGGCGTTTGAGGTGGAGTACTGATGCGTTCTTGGTGGTGCTGGACATGGTGACGGCCCTGAGCTGTTCTGGTAGTAGTTCCCACTATACCCTGTGCTCGAAACTGGGGTTTTGCCGGCGGGAGGAGCGCTGTGTCCCGCCGCGGGCAGAGCAGAACTATAGTAACTGGATGCTGGATACATAGCAGGGTATGTCTGTCCCGGACCTGGCAACAACAACATCATGAATTTTATTTGTGCTTTCAACATACAAATGAGATGGAAATGTGACACGTGTTATCATTAGACAAATTCTATGTTTTATACAAATTGACCTGTGAAAACCAACAGCAGGTGAAACTTGCATCAATTTTCATCTCCCTTACAAATAAGTAGTGTGATGGTAATACCACGATACTGAATGACGGCCATATTCATATACCATTACTAAAGCCAAAAAACAAAAATTTGATTATTATATATATACATACATACGCATGTTTTATATATATACACACACACACACACACACACATATAATTTATATATTTCTTTTACATAAAATACAAAAAACTTGTTTTTTTATTTCCAAGGCAACATTTCTCATTTTCATTTCATTTAATCTGATGTACTAAACTAGCTAACACTGAAAACATAGACATATTTAAAAATAAATAAATAAACAATGACAAAAACAACAACAAAATATATAAAATTAAAAATTATATATTCAAAAATTTTACAAAAACTATAATATAATATAATAAACACTGCATGGCAATCCATGGTACTTTAAAGAATACATTTTATTAACATGTTTTACTAGATTAGACAACATGCACCTGTCACTCCATATTACTTATGTATATGTATATGCATATAAAAAAATAAAAGAAATATATATTTATATATTTTTTAAATTTAGATGTACATTAGAAAATACAAAACAAACTGTTATTTATGTTATAATATACAGTTTAACGTAACATTGTCAAAGTCTACGTTTTAAACATGTTTTAAAGTACAGCTCACATTCGTATAACCTCAAAACAGTCAGTGGATTACATTAGTCATGTTTTAAGAGATTAAACAACAAATGTTGGTTATTTGTAAATATCTAGTAAATATGCATCACATTCTGCGTTGATCTGCGCCAGATATGCGCAATTATGCGAGCTCAATTTACAACTAATAAAATAAGACATACGATCAAGACAGAGACATATTTAAGCTCCCAATTCAGATCATCTAAATTACAAAATCTTAACAGATTAATAACCCTTAAAGCCTTTAAAACGAGAAAAATAACAACCAAGCTACCTGAACTAAACTAGCCGCTAACGGGCTAATGACAGGAGACGGAAACACACCAACTTTAATCTTCAATAAAACACACCGAGAGCTGCGCTATGATTTTAATAACAGTTAACGTTACAGAGAAATGTTCCTGAAATATGTAATTTGTAGCGGTCGAAGTCTCCACCCCAGAGACGCAGATGACAGGTGCTTTAGCTCAGCCTCTGTCTCAGGCCTTTATAGCTAAAGGCCTGAGACAGAGGCTGAGCTAACCTCTCCGAGCTTTATCAAGTGGATTTGAAAAGGATTTTAGCATTTAGCGAGATCGTTTAGCCGTTAGCATTTTAGCTTAACATGTAGCCAGTAATCTTAGCATTTGAATGTGATATTCGCGTTAGCTATAGCATGTTGGCTCAGGTGGTTTCGCTTTAATCCCGTAAATTACCGTTCTGACAGGGCGCTGCTGTCGCCGCCGCTCCGCCTCCGTTTTGTGTGGAATTCATGCTGTAATTATTCACGGACGAGTTCGGATTGGCGTAACCCTGTGTGGACATCTCTATCCGAGTGGTTGAAGAGTATAAAATATACGAGGCTGTCACCAGTTGTGGGTCTCCATCGACCTGCCCACAGCTAAGCAGAGGGTCTGTCTGACTAACGGTGCTGATCACGGGCCGGTGAATCCAGACAGACATCAACCCACAGTCTATGGATCAACCGCGAACGCAGCGGCAGCGGCAGCGGCGTCACTCAGAGCTCTTCAAAATAAAAGCGTTGAAATAAAAAAAATAAAAAAAAAATAAAATAAAATAAAAAAATAAATGAAATTAAAATAAATAAATAACATAAAACAATAAAAAATTAAATAAAAATAAAAATAAAATGATGTAAATAGATTAAAATAATATAAAATAACATAAAATAAAATGATATAAATAAAATAAAACACCCGAAAAAATAGCTTTTTGTCCAAAATCAGGGATGAACACATACAGGTGGCTCATCTTGAGAGAACTGATCCATCATTACTCCCTGGAAAGATGTAAGACACTGTTTTTAAAAGGAGATATTTGTGCTTTATTGTTACATCTGTGTACATTTCGTTAGATGCTTGGAAAAATATAAATAATAACAGCTAAAAATTATCGTGTTCTACGCCAATTTACTACTAATTATAGACCCTTAAGTAGTACGGACTCTTCATTTACTTTTTTTCACATTTATTTATATACTAGCTTTTGGTACAATACAGATAGTTTCAAATCAGCTTCACAGTAAAATAAACAACAATTTTGAATCAACTTCAATTTCAGCTGCAAGGTTGTAAACGTGAGTATTTCATATCAGCATAAAAAATGTCTATATTTGGCAACTAGCTGGAAAAAGTTTATTTAAAAAATATTTTATGTCAGTTATCGTTATTTTAAAGTAATGGAAATCAACTATTAAATTAATTCAATTAAGCTAAGAATCAGAAGACAATAGTGTCATTATTTAGCTCAGTTCAGATTCAGTGTTGATTTAATTCAGTGTCAGTGTTATGAAGTTCATCAAATATGAAATGGCTTCAAAAACAGCTCTACAAAAGACAATAGTGTCATTAAATTCAGTTTTAGAACACAAGTTTTTGTATTCTCATCCGATAGTGTGTCAGTGCAGTCAAACTGACAATATTTTCTGAATATAGTCGTCTTTCAAGCCCCATCTGAGCGAGTCAAAGGCGACAGTGGCAATAAACATTGTACAACATTCCCTACTGGTCCCATGGTGTGTAAGGAATGTTTTGGAAATTAACCCTCTTTTTGCCCTGTGATCCGGTTAAACTCAAATCTGTGTACTTTGTTTCTGTGTGCAGAGGGCAAGAATGTCTCCTGAAATGATTACAGTTTATTTTATTTAACCAAAGGACAAGATGTAGGCTACATTCAGAAGACAAAAAGAGGAATTTACTTATAACACAACAGAGGAATTTCATTAGTGTTTGTGACAAAACATAAATAATTGCACCATACAGATTGACTAATTTTACCAGTCTGTTGCCTTAAATGTCTTATGTAAGTCATGGCCCAGACATCCAGACCAGTGCAACCAGGTTTTGGGCTGAAATTATTACACTATTGACTACTGACAAAAGCATCAGTAACCACTTTTTACAAGCTATTATTTTTCTTTATATGAACATCCTGAAAGTATTAATGGTGAAAAGCTTACATTTCACTTTCATATATTTGCTTATTTGGGGTTATAGTTATTTTTATGATGTATTATTTATCATACTTACCTATGCTATGACTTCTGAGTAATAAATACCACTCCCGTTTGCCAAGAAAACAACACTCTGTGTCTGTGCTGGAGGCAAATATCTCTCATATAACAGCAATAAACTGAGATTAGTAAGTAGCAAGAATGAGTGATTGACAAAGCTGGATGGAGAATAACCGGTTTTGAATCTGTTATGAGTGCTTGATTCATCATTGCCCAATGATACCACTGCATCCGATTAGGCGTAGTTCCTTCCATGTTACGAGAGAGTCACTTTACTCATTTCAATGGGCAGCATACGTAACAACCACACTGCAAGAGCAACCACTTCTTCAATTTGGGTAACAGTCAGTTTTAAGCATGCATTCATGCATGAATGAATACAAAATAAACTCAGACAAGTAAATGCATCTTTATTGTTAAAACATTATCAATCATCTTTAAAATAGTTACACATACTCTCTAAGTAAAAGTAGCTGTACAACAGATACTTTGTAAAACCCTGTCTATGAAGCTCCAGGCTTCCTAAGTGCTGTAGAACCATTAGTAGTGATAAAGTCAGCATAAAATGATCAAAACACATGTTGCTTTTATAATGTGATGTGAAAACAATAAAATGAACCACAGGACTGATTGTGTCCATCAGGAATTGATGTGATGAGTGTTTCATATTTGAATGCACTCACTTTTGAAAAAGCTTTTTGGAAAGTAATTTCAGAAGTGGAGCGATGATTTTTTTGATGAGAGATTTGTTGGACTAATGTGCACTAATGAATCGTTCACATTAAGAGCACTAATATGAATTATGGAAGTAAACAGATTTGATTCCATGCTGACTTTAAACATTCAAACCACCCACAATCTCACAATAAAAATAATTCAGAACCAATCACAGCAGTTTAGTAGTGAACCTAAAACAGAGAGCATTATTTTCAGTCAGGTGCACTATATACACTGCAGGTCAAAAGTGTGGAATAATTAAGATTTCTAAAAACATTTTTTCAATTAATGCTGTCTTTGAACTTTCTATTCATCAAAGAATCCTAAAAAATAAAATGTATCATGGTTTCCACACAAATGTGACTGGGACAAAAAAGTCGCTGGGGTATATTTGTAGCAATAGCCAAAAATACATTGTATGGGTCAAAATTATAGATTTTTCTTTTATGCCAAAAATCATTAGGATATTAAGTAAAGATCATGTTCCATGAAGATATTTTGTAAATTTCCTACTGTAAATATATTAAAACTTAATTTTTGATTAGTAATATGCATCGCTAAGAACTTCATTTGGACAACTTTAAAGACAATTTTCTCAATATTTTGATTTTTTTTGCACCCTCAGATTCCAGATTTTCAAATAGTTGTATCTCGGCCAAATATTGTCCTATCCTAACAAACCATACATCAATGGAAAGCTTTCAGATGATGTATAAATCTCAATTTCAAAAAATTGACCCTTATGACTGGTTTTGTGGTCCAGGGTCACAAATATGAAGCAGTACAACTGTTTTTATCATTGATAATAATCAGAAATGTTTTTTGAGCATCAAATCAGCATATTAGAATGATTTCTGAAGGATCATGTGACACTGAAGCCTGGAGTAATGATGCTGAAAATTTGACAGGAATAAATTACATTTTAAAATATATTTAAATAGAAAACAATTATTTTTAAATTGTAAAAATATTTCACATTTTTTACTGTATTTTAGATCAAACAAATGCAGCCTTGGTGAGAAGAAGAGACTTTTTTCAAAAAACATTAACACATCTTTATTATTCCAGTCTTTTGACCAATAGCGCACTTGTACAAAACTCAGTCTCTTTGCAGCTTGTTTCATTCTCCATGCATTTGTTTTCCTATCACAGTGCTCCATCATTGGTGTATGAAGGATTTCCGAGGCCCTCGGCGTCTCCCATTCTGCCTTTTCGACACATCCGTCGTCTCCACAGTATAACAACGAGCGCTGAAAGCAGCAGCAGGAAGCCGACGCTCCCCGCGATGATCCCTGCGCTCAGAGCTGCCTGGTCAGGTTGCGGCGGCTCATATCGTGCACACGACTTCTCGCTGACTCCCACTTTATTCCCAGCTGCCACACACACCGTCTCCCCGACTTTCAGCCCGGGTACAGCACCATTTCTTAAATATTCTCTGAAAACCAGCTGCTTGTTTCCATCTTTCAGTGTGACTTCATAATAGGTGACAGTGGAGCGAGGAGCACACCAATGCACAGACACTTCGCCGGATCCGTCCAGCTTCACCTCCCGGAGCTCAGGAGCCTCGGGTCTCTTCTCTGGCCCTGTCAACCCAGGACAGAGGCAGCCCGTCTGGGCTGAAATCTTTTCGCAAGGGGTCATTTGAACTGCACAGGGGTCATAATCACAAGGTCGACGGATCACACGAGAGGTCGTGACCCCTGGCGACTTGGGCGACAGCGTTGTCTTTGAACTTTCTTCATCGTAGTCGTCCTCGACTTCGATAATGCGAACACGTGTGAGAGGAGGCTGATGCAGTGACGGACTGACAGATGTGGTGCCGCCGGACTCCATCACACACAGGAGGAGCAGGGACATGAAGGGTGACACCCGCAACATCTTGATCCTGAAACAAATAAAGTTGCAGTTAAAGTTCATCTTAGCAGCTCCACTCATTCATAACATAATTAAACAAGACATAAGAACAAATTAAAGAACATAAGATAAAAATGGACCCTGTCAAGTGCTTAATACAAGCTCCTGCTCTTCTGAACGATCCATTGTTGTATGTTATTGCAACTTGGTGAGAAGAAGAGACTTTTTTCAAAAAACATTAACACATCTTTATTATTCCAGTCTTTTGACCAATAGCGCACTTGTACAAAACTCAGTCTCTTTGCAGCTTGTTTCATTCTCCATGCATTTGTTTTCCTATCACAGTGCTCCATCATTGGTGTATGAAGGATTTCCGAGGCCCTCGGCGTCTCCCATCCTGCCTTTTCGACACATCCGTCGTCTCCACAGTATAACAACGAGCGCTGAAAGCAGCAGCAGGAAGCCGACGCTCCCCGCGATGATCCCTGCGCTCAGAGCTGCCTGGTCAGGTTGCGGCGGCTCATATCGTGCACACGACTTCTCGCTGACTCCCACTTTATTCCCAGCTGCCACACACACCGTCTCCCCGACTTTCAGCCCGGGTACAGCACCATTTCTTAAATATTCTCTGAAAACCAGCTGCTTGTTTCCATCTTTCAGTGTGACTTCATAATAGGTGACAGTGGAGCGAGGAGCACACCAATGCACAGACACTTCGCCGGATCCGTCCAGCTTCACCTCCCGGAGCTCAGGAGCCTCGGGTCTCTTCTCTGGCCCTGTCAACCCAGGACAGAGGCAGCCCGTCTGGGCTGAAATCTTTTCGCAAGGGGTCATTTGAACTGCACAGGGGTCATAATCACAAGGTCGACGGATCACACGA